CTTTACCATAACAGGGATGATGTTGATGTTTCGGGAACCTTCCTTTGTTTTTTTGCTAATTAAATGCTTTAAAATCCTACTTAAAATTTTTGTTATAAAATGATATTTGTCAAGAATGCGTGGAGATTATTTTGAGGCAAAAATCTGGTTTATCAATTTTGCTTTCAAAATTGTTTTTAGATGAACTTCGTGCTTCTGAAGAACGTGAAAGAGAAGAGAAATCGAAATCGAGGAGATCGTCCAGCATAAAACTCAGTCGATCATTTGATGAAAGAGACTATCTACCTGAGGTATGGTTATTTTTGTGCTGTTCGAAAACGATAACTTATGGAAGAATAAGTTAATGAGGAAGTAATTCCCCGTGATTTTTTACGGGTTTTTCGGACCAAATGCGGATTGTAATCCACCACAACTTGCGTATTACACCTGGAATAGGCTGTAGATGCAGTCTGGCTCAAAATCGAAGGATCTGGTAAATCCACTCCTAAAGTAAGGCAAAACCGCCCAATATATATATATATATTGGGCGGTTTTGAAAAAAAACGGAAAAACCCGAAAAGCCCCCTAAACAATCGATATGGGGATATGCTTTACACCGAGTATATATATATACATATATATGCATTATATGTATATATATACATATATATGTACATATATATACATACATATACATATATATACATATGTATATATATGTACATATATGTACATATATATACATATATATACATATATATATATACTCGGTGTGAAGCATATCCCCATATCGATTATTTAGGTGCTTCACACCGAATATATATACATATATGTACATATATATGTATATATATGTATATATATATATACTCGGTGTGAAGCATATCCCCCTATCGATTATTTAGGGGACTTTTCGGGTTTTTCCGCTTTGTACAAATTTTTCTACTTGATTTTCAAATTTGTTTTTTGCAAGCCATTCAGTTTTTTTTTGAGCTATTTGAACCATCCAGTTGTTTTTTTAGGTTTTTTATTTTTTAATTTTTTTTTCTCTTTCTTTCCCTCAAAGAATCATCTGCCGGAAAAATATGCTCAACTGAAATTTTTGTTGAGGAAATTAAAATATATTCGAAATGAAGAAGATTACTTGATTTTAAAATACGGATTTCGATTTTTTCGGAATTCATTTTGTATTTTTGCGCCGATGCTAAGGAACTAAACGAGAAATGTTTCATCCTTACAGCTAGCATTAAAGAAGCGCCGTACCAGTGCAATGAGCAGATCGACAAGTGCAACATCACCTGTACCAACCTCATCTATGCCTGGAACTTCAGGTAAATGCTCTTTCCTGCCACGGTGGGTGAATACTAAGCCTCGATAATTAATCAGTTAACCAGCAGTTTGTTTGTTAAGTTTTTAATTTTTGTCTAAAAAAGCACATTTTTGTATTGTATCGCTCTGGCGTGGTAATCAGGGTCTTGAAACCGCAAAAATCCGCCCGGAATTTTATATCAGTTGGCAGTTTGCCAATTAAGATAAAATTTCCGCCGAAAGAACGGCATGCAGTGACCGGCCAAACAAAGTTAAATCCGACAGGCAGGGGATGCTCCTTGTCTTGCCAACAACCGATGATTGTCGCTCATCAGCGAATAATACCATGGGAGAGAAAATAAGCCATTATTTTGATGTCCC